TTCCACTGCCTCCCGCAGTTTGGTCAAACTCATGATGGTAGCTTCGAGAACACTGTCCCACCATCCGTCCTCTGTCGTCCCCTTCTCCTTGTGCCCTCCATCTTTCCCAACATCAGGGTCTTTTCCAGGGAGTCTTCTCTTCTCATGAGGTGGCCAAAGTCTTGGAGCCTCAGCTTCAGGATCTGTCCTTCCAGTGAGCACTCAGGGCTGATTTCCTTCAGAATGGAGAGGTTGGATCTTCTTGCAGTCCATGGGACTCTCAAGAGTCTCCTCCAGCACCAGAATTCAAAAGCATCCGTTCTTCGGCGATCAGCCTTCTTTATGGTCCAGTTCTCACTTCCATACATCACTACTGGGAAAACCATAGCTTTAAACTATACAGATGTTTGTTGACAAGGTGATGTCTCTGCTTTTTAAGATGCTATCTAGGTTTGTCATTGCTTTTCTCCCAAGAGTTTTATACATAAAAAGTCTTTTCTGCTCCTCTGGTATTTTGGTACCTGCAGATCCTAATGGAAAAGTTTCTGGTTACTCGATCGCCCCACACATTTTGGCTTCTGGCCCCGTCTGCTATTGGCAGGCGGCCCCTGGAAGGTTGTCCCAGAAGGAATCTGGCCCTTGGGGTGGAAAAGTCTCTCCTCACCTGCCTTCTTTATGGTCCAGCTCTCACTTCCATAAATCACTACTGGGAAAACCATAGCTTTAACTATACGGACCTTTGTTGGCAAGGTGATGTCTCTGCTTTTTAAGATGCTGTCTAGGTTTGTCATTGCTTTTCTCCCAAGAAGCAGGCGTCTCTTAATTTCGTGGCTGCTGTCACCATCTGCAGTGATCATGGAGCCCAAGAAAGTACAATCTCTCACTGCCTCCATTTCTTCCCCTTCTATTTGCCAGGAGGTGATGGGACCAGTGGCCATGCCTACGAAACTAAAACCAGAATTGTTTCAGTGGCATGTTCCTTGGCTGGGGTGCAGGTGGACCTGCCACTCTCAGTTCCTCCTTTTCCCAAATCTTAAAATTCAGCTCTCTGCATTCCCGCATCAGTTTCGCCCCGTTGGCCTTTGTAAGTCCTCGTGAAAATTCGGCAGCGTTTGAAGGGCCGATTTTTGCTTTTTGAAACGGGGAGGGAGCGTAGTTCAGGGACAGGACATGTGCTTTGAGTGCAGAAGGTTTGAACCCCAGCATCTCCAACTAGGAGCGAGAAAGACTCCTGTCTGAAACCCTGGAGAGCTTCTGCCAGTCAGTGCAGACAAGACCAATTCTCTGACTCAGGGTAAGTCATGTCTTTATATCCCTCCTAAAATATGCAATTTTTCCCCAAAGCACATTTTTGCAAAGCAATTTCCCCTTAGTAGAATCCTTTTTTTTTGTATGCAATTTGCATCAAATGAGCATTTCCCCCTAATATATTCACTTTGCAAATACCTTGCTTGTTTGGAGAACGGTATTGCAAAATCCCGACAATGGCTGTGACAATGCCTGTGGTTCCGTTTTGCGTATTGTTTCAGAAGGTGTGGAATAACCACAATACAGCCTTGAACTTCCTCCCTGCTTCCCTTTTAATATTTATTTTTAAAAATGATTTCCCCCAAATTATTACAGATGGAACCAAATCACTTTAATACGACGCCTTAAAATCAGGTTTCCAGCTCCTGTCAATCATTTTCCTCCCGTAGCCGAATTGTTTATTTAGTGTCTGGTTGTGATCCTTCGCTTGCAGTTAAACCATTCTTCCAGCTGCCCTCTTTTCCCTCCTTACAAACAGCACCTCTGCTGCATCTTATAAATTTAAAATCCAGTTTGCATATACATTTTACTTCCTGGGTGGGCAACTAAGGATCCGGCCCAATCGCCTTCTCAATCCGGCCCGCGGATCAAAATGCCCTTTTTGAACTTGCTGTTTGGCTGAAGTTCACAATGCGGGTCTCCAGCTCAAAAACTGGGTGCATAACTGCTCCATGTTCTCAAATAATAAGCATGTACATTAAAGGAAGGGAGCACCACAGAAATTTTTCCATTGCTGCATTTTTAACACGAAGGGTCACAAATGCTCAGCTGAGCGTTCATCTAGATGAGTAGGCAAACTAAGGCCCGGGGGCCGGATCCGGCCCAATCGCCTTCTCAATCCAGCCTGTGGACAGTCCGGGAATCAACGTGTTTTTACATGAGTAGAATGTGTCCCTTTACTTACCGTAAAATGCATCTCTGGGTTATTTGTGGGGCATAGGAATTCATTCATTATTTTTTCCTTCCAAAATATAGTCCGGCCCCCCACAAGGTCTGAGGGACAGTGGACTGGCCCCCAGCTGAAAACGTTTGCTGACCCCTGTTTTAGTTCCAGACCTGGTGTGCTGGGAGAGTTCGTTACTATCTTCCATTGTTCGGTTCCCTGCAATGTTTATCGGAATGGCACAAAGTCACATTCCATTCCTTCCACTGTTTTCAGACTAGCATACGAACGAACCACAGCCTCTCTGTTTCCCTTTTGGGACCTACAGCCCAAATCACGCCGCTCCCTTTGCCTCGACCCCGATTCCGTTTCTTTCATTTTATTGACCTATAAAAAAATAGCTATATATTGCTGTTCGTAAACAACAAGCAGAGTGGTTTATAACAATCTTACATAAAACCATACAATAAAAACCACGTCGAAATTAGTAGGCCTGACGGAATGGGGAAGTTCCCGGCAGGCAATATCTAAAATGCGATATCTAGTGGCAGAGTGTTCCACAGGACTGGGCCCTTGACACGGAAGGCTCTGTTTGTTGTTGTTAAACGATCATTGCAGGGGGTTGGGCTGGATGACCTTCGGGTCCCTTCCAACTCTATGAGCCTCACCAACTTGGGGAACGGCCAGAGATGCTCCTTCAGTTAATCTTAAGGATCTTTCTTCCTTTGGAAATGCAGCTTTTACTTGCATGCAAATTGAATGGGTAAGATCAATCAACCACAACTTTGTAGATTAACCAGCTGGAACTTGTGCGGTTAACCAGTCAATGAACCAGATTGCTGGCCTTCTTCCAATTCCATGCAAATTAGCTACTGGGCTAAGTTCAAGGCACTGGTTTTGATGTAAAGGTAAAGGTACCCCTGACCGTTAGGTCCAGTCCCACACGACTCTGGGGTTGCGGCTCTCATCTCGCTTTCAGGCTGAGGGAGCCGGCGTTTGTCCACAGACAGCTTTCTGGGTCATGTGGCCAGCAGGACTAAACCGCTTCTGGCGCAACGGGACACTGTGACGGAAACCAGAGAGTACAGAAATGCTATTTACCTTCCCGCCGCAATGGTACCTATTTATCTACTTGCACTGGTGTGCTTTTGAACTGCTAGGTGGGCAGGAGCAGGGACAGAGCAACAGGAGTTCACTCCGTTGTGGGGATTCGAACCGCCGACCTTCCGATCGGCAAGCCCAAGAGGCTCAGTGGTTTAGACCCTTGGTTTTGACGTAGAAAACCCCCAAACACCAGGGAACCAGGATACTGGAAAGGTGATCTCACCCCTTATAAACCCACTCAATCTGCAGGTAAGGGCATCCTGCAGGTGCCATCGTATCAGGAAGTGCCTTGCGCGCATTGTAGGAAGCCGGTCTTTCATGAAACGTTTCCGAATACCAGTTGCCAGAAACTTCAGGAAGGGAGAGAGTTGCTCTTCTTGCACTTAGGTCTTGCTTGTGAGTTCGCCAGAAGCGACATCTGGTTTGTTACTGTGAGAACAGGACGTAGGACTCGATGGGCTATTGGCCTGACCCACTGGCCTCTCCTTATTGTGGTAGCACCTTTGGAACTCCCCTCCCCTTGAATTTACGTCAGGCGCCATCTCTGTTGTTTCTTCGGCCCCTGACAAAGACCTTCCTCTTCCAACAAGCTTTCTAAGCTGAGATCTTCTCCAGACAAGACAGAAGCACTGTTTTTGGGGGACAGGAGGTGGGCAGGTGTGGAGGACTCCCTGGTCCTGAATGGGGTAACTGTGCCCCTGAAGGACCAGGTGCGCAGCCTGGGAGTCGTTTTGGACTCACAGCTGTCCATGGAGGCGCAGGTCAAGTCTGTGTCCAGGGCAGCTGTTTACCTGCTCCATCTGGCACGCAGGATGAGACCCTCCCTGCCCACAAACTGTCTCGCCAGAGTGGTGCATGCTCTGGTTATCTCCCGCTTGGACTACTGCAATGCGCTCTACGTGGGGCTACCTTTGAAGGTGACCCAGAAATGACAACTAATCCAGAATGCGGCAGCTAGACGGGTGACTGGGAGCGGCCGCCAAGGCCACATAACACCGGTCTTGAAAGACCTGCATTGGCTCTCAGTACGTTTCTGAGCACAGTTCAATGTGTTGGTGCTGACCTTGAAAGCCCTAAATGGCCCGTTATACCTGAAGGAGCGTCTCCACCCCCATCGTTCAGCCCAGACACTGAGGTCCAGCTCCGAGGGCCTTTTGGCGGTTCCCTCCCTGAGAGAAGTGAGGTTACAGGGAACCAGGCAGAGGGCCTTCTCGGTAGTGGCACCCTCCCTGTGGAACGCCCTCCCACAAGTTGCCAAGGAAATAAGCAATAATATGGCTTTTAGAAGTCATCTGAAGGCAGCCCTTTTTAGGGAAGTTTTTAATGTTTGATGTCTAAACATGTTTTTAATATTCTGTTGGGAGCCTCCCAGAATGGCTGGGGAAGCCCAGCCAAATGGCGGGGTATAAATAATAAGTTGCTGTTGTTGTTGTGATGATGTCTGTATCTGCGCTGAAATTATTTCTAAGATGTTTGTACTGTTCTATCTCTGGTTGTCTGCTGCCCTGGGCTCCTTTGGGAAGAAAGGCAGGATATGAATTTTATAATTAAATAAAGATTATTTTAAAAACAAACAAACCAACCACTTTGTTTGATGGAAAAAACTATCAGTGTAGGTGGAGGTGATTGTGAAGAAACAAAAGTGAACTGGGACTAACTTCCTTCCTTTTTAAAAATCCTTTTCTCTTATCTGAAGATAAACAATCCACACCTTGCTTTTAAAAGCTCCTGGATCACCTTGCGGTCGCTGGAAGGTGGATGCTGAGCGGTTCCGACGAGTGGAATGGAATTTACGGCGGTTGGGCACAGCTCCTACGAATGGCAGTGGAAACTTTCGCGAACAGTTAGCTGCCCGCATGTCTGACTTCAGCCCAAGTATTTGCTTTCCTTCTCCATGGGCAACCTCTTGGATCCTACGATTCCCATGAGATCCCTCACCTTGCCAGCTATGGATCCTGGAAGGCTTCTGTGATCAAGCCTCTGGATTCCCTGTTCTGCTGAAACTTGATCTCGCACCATCTCTCCCTGGGTCCCTCCTCCTTAGGGAGGAGGGCTTGGACCGTGCATCCGTGGACATTTTTCTTACCAAACCTTCTGCGTTTCCAAAAAAAATTATTCGAGTGCATGTTTCTCATCGGAGTGGGGTCTTTTCCATCTGGTCTGAGATTGGTAAGGGGGGACCCCATCTCACCTCCCGCCACAATGGTCTGGTGCATCTGCTTTCTCTCAGAGGAGGAGAAGAACGCCGTCGCCATAGATAAAGAAATCAACCGGCTTCTGCAGGAGCAAAAGAAACGAGATCGGTGGGAGCTGAAGTTGCTTTTACTTGGTGAGTAACTGCTCCTCGGACAAGGAGCTTGCTAGCTAGGTTGGGGAGAGGCTCAAGGCTTGAGTGATGGGCTTGGAGCAGGATCTAGTCTTCCACATTTTTTGGTTGTTTGTTTAGTCATTTAGTCGTGCCCGACTCTTTGTGACCCCCTGGACCAGAGCACGCCAGGCCCTCCTGTCTTCCACTGCCTCCCGCAGTTTGGTCAAACTCATGCTGGTAGCTTTGAGAACACTGTCCTACCATCTTGTCCTCTGTCATCCCCTTCTCCTTGCGCCCTCCATCTTTCCCAACATCAGGGTCTTTTCCAGGGAGTCTTCTCTTCTTGTGAGGTGGCCAAAGTATTGGAGCCTCAGCTTCAGGATCTGTCCATCCAGTGTGCATATCTTACCTTATAGAATAGGTTATTTTGTCACTGGCTTTGTTTTTCATTCAATTGCAAAATTCAGAAAAGTGCAAAGGACCCAGCTTATTTCTCTAATTTTAAGTTGCTTTAACCTGTTTTTAATTTTATGTTTTAATTGCTGCAACTTGCCCAGGGACCCTGGAGTGAAGGGCACATAAACAGTACTGATTATTGTTGTCGTTTAGTCGTGTCCGACTCTTCGTGACCCCCTGGACCAGAGAACGCCAGGCACTCCTGTCTTCCACTCCCGCAGTTTGCCAACACAGTACCGATACTACCACTAATTTTAAAAATCTCTTACTTTTCTGATCCGTGCATTAGTTTGGAAAGGTATACACCCATCTGGGGTTGTTTAAGCTGAATGAAATCCTTTTTGAAGTCTAGCTGAGACATATCAATATATATATATATATATATGAAAAATTGGGGAAATATGCTGCTGTGTCAATATTCTGTTTAACTGTCTGCCCATTTTGATCAGTCACAGTCCTGGAGTCTTAACTCCTCATAGGAAACTGTAAGTGATTTGGGCGTCCTTTAGCCTGAAAGGAGAGACGATTAAGAGACAATATGACACCCAGCTTTAAATCTGGGAAGGGCTGGAGCCGTGGATTGTAGTAAAAGTAAAGTAAAGGGACCCCTGACCATTAGGTCCAGTCGTGACCGACTCTGGGGTTGCGGCGCTCATCTCGCTTTATTGGCCGAGGGAGCCGTTGTACAGCTTCTGGGTCATGTGGCCAGCAGGACTAAGCCGCTTCCGGCGAACCAGAGCAGCGCACAGAAACGCCGTTTACCTTACCGCCAGAGCCGTACCTATTTATCTACTTGCAGTTTGACGTGCTTTCGAACTGCTAGGTGGGCAGGAGCAGGGACCGAGCAACGGGAGCTCACCCCGTTGCGGAGATTCGAACCTCCAACCTTCTGGTCGGCAAGTCCTAGGCTCTGTGGTTTAACCCACAGCGCCACCCGCGTCCCTAGCTGCTACCTTAGTAGGAGTCAAATACCACTGGTACATCGGACCCTATTTTTCATACCCCACTTTGAGGAGTTTTTTAAAAGAAAAATAAACAACCAGCGTGTGGGTGTTGGTGGGTGGGTGTAATGAAAGGAAAGGAAAAAATAAGAGCTGTGGGATTTCTTTTAGGTACCGGAGAGAGTGGGAAAAGCACCTTCATCAAACAGATGAGAATAATCCATGGCTTGGGCTATACGGAGGAAGACCGCAAAGAATTTGCCAAGGTGGTTTATCAGAACATCTTCATGTCCATCCAGGCTATGGTCAAGGCTATGGAGGTTCTCCAAATCTCCTACTCCCAGCCGGAAAATGCGGTGAGTAGTCCGACGGCATGGGAAGTCCTCACCCACAGGGTGAGACCAAAGCATTGAGGTTGAATCCTGACATGACCAAAGTACTGTTTTGGGGGGACAGGGAACATACAGGGCACCCTGGTCCTGAATGGGGCAACTGTGCCCCTGAAGGACCAGGTGCGCAGCCGGGGGGTAATTTTGGACTCACAGCTGTCCATGGAGGCGCAGGTCAATTCTGTGTCCAGGGCAGCTCCATCTGGTATGCAGGCTGAAACCCTCCCTGCCCATGGACTGTCTCGCCAGAGTGGTGCATGCTCTGGTTATCTCCCGCTTGGACTACTGCCATGCGCTCTATGTGGGGCTACCTTTGAAGGTGACTTGGAAATGACAACTAATCCAGAATGTGGCTACCAGACCGGTGACTGGGAGCTGCCACTGAGACCATATAACACAGGTCCTGAAAGGTAAAGGACTTCTGGACGGTTAAGTCCAGTCAAAGGCGACTATGGGGTTGTGGCGCTCATCTCGCTTTCAGGCTGAGGGAGCCGGCGTTTGTCCACAGACAGCTTTCTGGGTCATGTGGCCAGCAGGACTAAACTGCTTCTGGCGCAACAGGACACTGTGGCGGAAACCAGAGCGCACGGAAACGCCATTTACCTTCCCGCCGCAGCGGTACCTATTTCTCTACTTGCACTGGCATGCTTTTGAACTGCTAGGTTGGCAGGAGCTGGGACAAAGCAACAGGAGTTCACTCCGTCGCAGGGATTCGAACCGCCAACCTTCCAATCAGCAAGCCCAAGAGGCTCAGTGGTTTAGACCACAGCGCCATTCGCGTCCCCATACGATGTAAGAGATAAAAGAAGTAAATGCTTTTCTCTTACCAGAAGCTGCCCAGAAGGACACTTCCTTCTTTAACAAATGTGTTACGGTCGAATCAAAATAAATACAGCGGTGCCTTGGTTTATGAACTGAATCTGTTCCAGAAGTCCGTTCTTAAACCAAAGCGTTCTTAAACCAAGGCATGCTTTCCCATAGCAGCGGGGGATTCAATTTACAAATGGAACACATCCAACACGTTCTGATTCCAAGGCCAAGCTCACAAACCAAAACACCTACTTCCGGGTTTGCAGCGTTCTTAATGCAAGTTAAACTAAGCTGTTCTTAAACCAAGGTACCACTGTAACAACAACAACATTAAATTACGTTATTCTCTCTGCTTCTAGCAAAATGCTCAGCTGCTGATGGCTGTAGATACTTACAAAATGAAGGAGATGGATGCGCGCCATGCAAGGATGATCAAAAGCCTGTGGAGAGATGGCGGGATTCGAACCTGCTACCAGAGGCGAAGCGAGTACCATTTGCTGGATTCCACTTTATAGTGAGAGCATTTGCGTCTGCCGCTTAGGGACGGGCAAATCTGTCGGGTTTCTGGGTGGTGGGCTGCACACAGTCTTATCCTACTCAGAGAAGACGCACTTGGGTTGCTTAGAACTAAATTCTGTTTAGAGCAGATCCACTGGAATTATCGAACTGCCTTTCTCCCAGAACCAAGACTCTTTAGATGATCCTTGGAGTCCATTTCCAATTCTACAATTCTGTAATTCAATCAGGCTTACAAGAAGCGAAGCAAGCACATACAGAAACACAGGAAGCTTAAAAACAAATCAACGATAGTAGTTAAAAAGTAATCAAAATGTAATGGAATTTAAACAACAGAAAATCTATGAAATCTAGTAAACAACAACAACAACCTGTGCAGCACTATCAAAAGCCCTCAGTTGGTTAGAGTAAGGTAAAGGTAAAGGGACCCCTGACCATTAGGTCCAGTCGTGGCCGACTCTGGGGTTGCGGCGCTCATCTCGCTTTATTGGCCGAGGGAGCCGGTGTACAGCTTCCGGGTCATGTGGCCAGTGAACCAGAGCAGCGCACGGAAACGCCGTTTACCTTCCCGCCGGAGAGGTACCTATTTATCTACTTGCACTTTGACATGCTTTTGAACTGCTAGGTGGGCAGGAGCAGGGACCGAGCAACGGGAGCTCACCCCGTCATTGCGGGGATTCGAACCGCCAACCTTCTGATCAGCAAGTCCTAGGCTCTGTGGTTTAACCCAACGTGAAACTTGAACCCACAACCCTAAGATTTAGAGTCTCATACTCTAACCAACATTGTTGGCACTGTGGGTTAAACCACAGAGCCTAGGGCTTGCTGATCAGAAGGTCGCCGGTTCAAATCCCCGGACGGAGTGAGCTCCCGTTGCTCAGTCCCTGCTCCTGCCAACCTAGCAGTTCGAAACCACATCAAAGTGCAAGTAGATAAATAGAAACCGCTCCAGCGGGAAGGTAAACGGCATTTCCGTGCACTGCTCTGGTTCGCCAGAAGCGGCTTTGTCCTGCTGGCCACATGACCCAGGAAGCTGTACGCCGGCTCCCTCGGCCAATAAAGTGAGATGAGCGCTGCAACCCCAGAGTCGGCCACGACTGGACCTAATGGTCAGGGGTCCCTTTACCTTTAAGGTGCTACTGGAAGGAATTTTTTAATTTTGTTTCGACTACGCCAGACCAACACGGCTACCTACCTATACCCAGAACAAACTTACCGTAGTTGGTCTCTAAGGTGCTACTGGACAATTTTTTTAATTTAATCATTAACTGTTAGGGTCTCTGCAGCTCTTGCTTAGCTTTGACAGACGCACCACGCTACGCAGGACACATTCAGACACATTACAAAGTTATCTTCCCATTTCCTTTTTTATATATAATATTTTTTATTAATTTTATCATATAAATTATAAAATGTACCACAAAACTTTTCACTTCTACAATCTTTTTAGACTTCCATCAGCACCTCTGATGATCCACCGTTTTAACCACTTCTTATGCATTTCTTAACTTTATATTGCCTTTACATCTCTTAACAAATCATCCTCCCCCTTCTCCATTTTTACAATACTTCCAATAATACTCCTCACAAAACTTCTTGCAACCCTACAAACGTCATCTGTTCTTCACAATTAATTTTCAAATAGTCCGTAAATTTACTCCAGTCTTCCGTGAATTTCTGGTCTCACCGGTTTCAAATCCTTCCTGTTAGTTTATCTAATTCTGCATAGTCCATTAACTTCATCCTCCATTCTTCAATCGTCGGTAACTCTTATTGCTTCCATTTTGGGGCCAATAATATTCTTGCTGCTGTTACTGCATATAAAAAGAGCTTACATTCCTTTCTATTTATGTCACTCCCCACAATGCCCAATAAAAATGCTTCTGGTTTCTTTATAAATGTATATTTCACCATTTTTTTCAACTCATTATATATCATCTCCCAGAAGCATTTCACCTTTTTACACTCCCACCACATGTGATAAAATGTTCCCTCTTTTTCTTTACATTTCCAACATTTATTACTGACTTTATACATTTTCGCTAACTTGACAGGTGTAATATACCATCTATACATCATTTTCATTACATTTTCTTTTAGGGCATTGCATGCAGTAAATTTTAAACCTTCCTTCCATAATTTCACCCAATCACTCAGCTGTATATTATACCCAAAATCTTTGGCCCAGTGAATTATAACCGACTTAACCTCTTTGTCCTTCAAATGCCATTCAAGCAGCAATCTATACATTTTAGACAAAAATTTTGCATCATTACTTAATATCTCTAATTCAAACTTTGATCCACTTTCATCAAATCCTTTTTCTTTAGAGTCTTGTTTAAACATTTCGTTGACCTGGCGATAATGTAACCAATCATTAACATATTCTTTAATTTCTTCATATTGTTTCAGTTTCCATTTACTTCCTTCCAGATATATTAATTTCCCATATGTTATCCATTTCCCACTCATATTGACCTTTTTTACACTCATCGCTTCTAATGGAGATAACCAATGTGGTGTTTTTCGTTCCAATAGGTTTTTATACCTATCCCAGGTTTCTATTGGAGATCATCGAAATATATGGCTTCCAAATCCTTTATGGACTTTTGTCTTATTATACCATAAATATGCATGCCACCCAAATCTGTTATCATAACCTCCTAAATCCAGCAATTCAGTATTTTCTAATTTCATCCATTCCTTCAACCAACAGAGGCAAGATGCTTCATAATATAATTTCAAATCTGGCAGGGCGAAGCCTCCTCTTTCTTTAGTAAGTTATCTTCCCATTTCCATGTACAATTTAAACAACTATCCTTAACGTGCCTTTGCAGCTTCCTGTCTAACCTGGACCGCATTGCAGCGGCAGGGTACGTGCCAAGCCCCCAGGACATCCTGAGGACGCGGGTGCCGACAACGGGCATCAACGAGTACTGCTTTTCGGTGCAGAAGGTGAGGCTCAGGTGAGCAAAACCGGGAGCAGGATCTGAAGCCATGCAGCCTTGATGGCTTCGACTGGCCGGCTAAACCAGGTGAGAGATGCCGATGGGTCTCAAAGCCTCCGTAGTTGATCTCTGCTGAAATGAGTGTAGCGGCAAATTCAGAAGGGCAAAGTCCCTTTGTGATGGTCACAACCTAGCCCTATCTCATGGTCCCCTTCTAAGGTTATACAACTTCATTAGACGCCGCCCCCACCACGAGAATAACCTTAGTTGGATACAACTTCATATATACTCCTGTGTGTGTGTGTATTTTTATTAAATTATCTGTTTTACAATTTACTCATTTAAACCACAGAGCCTAGGGCTTGCTGATCAGAAGGTTGGCGGTTCGAATCCCCGCCACAGGGTGAGCTCCCGTTGCTCAGTCCCTGCTCCTGCCAACCTAGCAGTTTGAAAGCACGTCAAAGTGCAAGTAGATAAATAGGTACCACTCCGGCAGGAAGGTAACGGCGTTTCGTGTGCTGCTCTGGTTCGCCAGAAGCGGCTTAGTCCTGCTGGCCACACGACCCGGAAGCTGTACGCCGGCTCCCTCGGCCAGTAAAGCGAGACGAGCGCCGCAACCCCAGAGTCGGCCACAACTGGACCTAATGGTCAGGGGTCCCTTTACCATTAAGACTTCCCTTCTTCTCTTTCCATGGTTCATTTTGCATATCATAAATCCCTGCATATTTTACATAAACTATACCATTCAGTATTCCGTTACTGCAGCCATCAAAACTTATTTACACTGTTGAATTTATCTTAATGCTTCCAACGTTTTCAGGTGTACACAATTCCCCCCCCCCATATTCAATAAAAGTTTTCCCATCTTCTCTAAGTGCATGTTCTTCTTGTTCTCTTATTCTAAGTCTGTGAGTTGTGCATATTCTGTCAGCTTAAGTTGCCGTTCTTCTTTGCTTGGGACCTCGCTTGTTTTCGGGCTAACAAATCACGGGCCGCAGTTTTGTTGTTTAGTCGTGTCCGCCTCTTTGTGACCCCCTGGACCAGAGCACGCCAGGCACTCCTGCCTTCCACTGCCTCCCGCAGTTTGGTCAGACTCATGCTGGTCGCTTCGAGAACACTGTCCAACCATCTCGTCCTCTGTCATCCCCTTCTCCTTGTGCCCTCCATCTTTCCCAACATCATGGTCTTTTCCAGGGAGTCTTCTCTTCTCATGAGGAGGCCAAAGTCTTGGAGCCTCAGCTTCAGGATCTGTCCTTCCAGTGAGCACTCAGGGCTGATTTCCCTAAGAATGGAGAGGTTGATCTTCTTGCAGTCCATGGGACTCTCAAGAGTCTCCTCCAGCACCAGAATTCAAAAGCATCCATTCTTCGGCGACCAGCCTTCTTTATGGTCCAGCTCTCACTTCCATACATCACTGCTGGGAAAACGATAGCTTTAACTATACGGACCATAAAAAACCTTTTTTTGACACCTTCATTTTAAATACTCATTTAAACCACAGAGCCTAGGGCTTGCCGGTCAGAAGGTCAACAGTTCGAATTCCCCCCCTTTTTTTAACAACTTCTACACCTTTTTTGTGTGTGTGGGGGGGGCAACTTCTACATCGGTTTCATTGGAGCCAGGGGTGGAGGTTACCTTAAGTGAGTATCTGTAGCCGCCCAGAAGCCAAAAAAACCATGATCTCCCTTTCTGTACAGGATTGTCGATGTAGGCGGACAGAGGTCGGAGCGTCGTAAATGGATCCACTGCTTCGAGAACGTGATTGCCCTGATCTACTTGGCTTCTCTCAGTGAATATGACCAATCTCTGGAGGAGAACACAAGCGAAGTAAGGAGGGGGATTTTTTTTTTAAAAAATGCATGTACATTTCCCTGTTTGTGTGTGCTGAATTCAGGTTTTAAGATCACAAGAAGAGCAGGCCAAGGGAGGGAGTTCCGCTGTTCTGCCTCCTGCATCAGGGAGTTCCACAGTTTACTGTATTTTTCGCTCTATAAGACGCACCAGACCACAAGACGCACCTACTTTTTGGAGAAGGAAAACAAGAAAATAAATATTCTGAATCTCAGGAGCCAGAACAGCAAGAGGGATCGCTGCGCAGTGAAAGCAGCAATCCCTCTTGCTGTTCTGGCTTCTGGGATAGCTGCACAGCCTGCATTCGCTCCATAAGATGCACACACATTTCCCCTTACTTTTTAGGAGGGGAAAAGTGAGTCTGATAGAGCAAAAAATGCGGTAATTTGCAGGTGAGGCATCGCAACTCCTGGCAGATCCAACCTACCTCACTGCTGCCTATTCTCTGCCACCCTCCAAGGCTTCACTTTGAGGGGGAAATGGTAGAGGCTTTGCTTAGTGGGCAGAAGGTCTGAGGTTCAGCCCTGGGCATCTCTGGGTAGGGAAGACTCCTTTTCTCTGAATCCCTGCTGTTTCTGGGAAGTGAAGTCACGACTGAGTGAGAGGCCCGACTCTTTGCAAGTGTTCCTAAGTGCTTCCTTTCACCTTCTTCCTCCACTTCCATGAGTTAGAACCGGATGAGGGAGAGTCTCGACCTCTTCAGAACCATCCTGGAGCTTCCGTGGTTCTGGAATACTTCCATCATCCTTTTCCTCAACAAGGTGGACATCCTGGAGGAGAAGATCCTGAGCTCCGACCTGGCTGCTTATTTCCCAAGTTTCCCAGGTAATACTTCCTCCTTCCTCCAGCCAACTAGTGCAGACTCTGGCATCAATAGGAGTATAGCATCTAGATCAAGGGAAGTAATAGTGCCACTGTATTCTGCTCTGGTCAGACCTCACCTGGAGTACTGTGTCCAGTTCTGGGCACCACAGTTCAAGAAGGACACTGACCAACTGGAACCTGTCCAGAGGAGGGCAACCAAAATGGTCAAAGGCCTGGAAACGATGCCTTATGAGGAACGGCTAAGGGAGCTGGGCATGTTTAGCCTGGAGAAGAGGAGGTTAAGGGGTGATATGATAGCCATGTTCAAATATATAAAGGGATGTCACATAGAGGAGGGAGAAAGGTTGTTTTCTGCTGCTCCAGAGAAGCGGACACGGAGCAATGGATCCAAACTCCAAGAAAGAAGATTCCACCTAAACATGAGGAAGAACTTCCTGACAGTAAGAGCTGTTCGACAGTGGAATTTGCTGCCAAGGAGTGTGGTGGAGTCTCCTTCTTTGGAGGTCTTTAAGCAGAGGCTTGACAACCATATGTCAGGAGTGCTCTGATGGTGTTTCCTGCTTGGCAGGGGGTTGGACTCGATGGCCCTTGTGGTCTCTTCCAACTCTATGATTCTATGATCCTCCAGCGTCAGTTATGGGCCTGGGAGATTAAGATTCAAATCCTGACCTACTGGGTGACATGATGGGGTGAGCTCTCCCATTGCTCTTTCCCAGCTCCTGCCAACCTAGCAGCTTGAAAGCACACCAGTGCAAGTAGATAAATAGGTATTGCTGTGGCGGGAAGGTAAACGGCGTTTCCGTGCGCTCTTGTTTCTGTTACAGTGTCCCGTTGCGCCAGAAGTGGTTTAGTCCTGCTGGCCACATGACCCGGAAAGCTGTCTGTGGACAAACGCTGGCTCCCTTGGCCTGAAAGCGAGATGAATGCTGCAACCTCCTAGTCACCTCTGACTGGACTTAACCGTCCAGGAGTCCTTTACCTTTTGCTGGCCTGTGACGTTGCACGTCTCTCTCGTGCTCAGGAGGAGCATGCCTTTGATGCTGAGCTCATAATAGTAATAATAATAATAGTAATAATAATTTATTATTTATACCCCGCCCATCTGGCTGGGTCCCCCCAGCCACTCTGGGCGGCTTCCAACAAAACACTAAAATACAATAACATACTAAACAATAAAAGCTTCCCTAAACAGGGCTGCCTTCAGATGTCTTCTAAAAGTTTGGTAGTTATTTTTCTCTTTGACATCTGGTGGGAGGGTGTTCCACAGGGCGGGTGCCACTACCGAGAAGGCCCTCTGCCTGGTTCCCTGTAACTTGGCTTCTCGCAGCGAGGGAACCGCCAGAAGGCCCTTGGTGCTGGACCTCAGTGTCCGGGTAGAAAGATGGAGGTGGAGGTATACTGGACCGAGGCCGTTTAGGGCTTTAAAGGTCAGCACCAACACTTTGAATTGTGCTCGGAAATGTACTGGGAGCCAGTGTAGGTCTTTCAAGACCGGTGTTATATGGTCTCGGTGGCCGCTCCCAGTCACCAGTCTAGCTGCCGGTGCTCAGAGATTCAGCCTCCTTTGACCCCTCAATATTGGGCAAGGCTGAGCTCCCTGCTAAGGAATATTGAGGGGGCTGACAGACCACAACCCCTAGCCTTGGCACACCTGAAGGCTATCTCCTTGTATTTTCCCAGGCCCTAAGCGAGACGCTCACGCGGCCAAGCACTTCATCCTTGAAATGTACATGGACATCTTCAGGAAGTTCTTGGTCCCTGGCGGCGACTTCGGAGGGGGTCCTTCCGGCGACGTCCACAGGCCACGGATCCTTTACTTCCACTTCACCTGTGCCACGGACACGCAGAACATTGGCACGGTTTTCGAGGACATTAAGGACGCCGTCCTGGCCGCCTACCTTGATGAGTTCAACCTGGTCTAGAAGGGTCTTGCGGACACTTCTAAAGGATCTCAATGACTCCACCCGTTTGCCTTAGGGGAGGCCTGGCAGATGGAATGTGAAACAGGCGGCTCTAAAGGCCCATTTTAAAACGCTGGCAGGCACCGAGATCTGTCCAGCAGCATCACCCCTTGGGAATCCCAGAGGTGGGGGGGTCAGACCTGGCTACTGCAGGCTGAGACCCGCTCCATTCAAAATGGATTTCAAAACCCTGTGCTCTTTCGCCACCCTGCATAGCTGTCAACCGTCCCTTATTTGGCGGGAAAGTCCCTTATCCCAGCGCCGTGTCCCGCTGCTGTCCCTTATTGATGATGTCCCTTAAATTTCCCAGGTTTCAAAGGAAGCAGCTCCTCTCCCTCCCTCCCTGCCGGCCAGGGAGGAGGGAGGCTCCAACTGGGTTGCTTGGCTGCGTTGCTCACCTAATAAGGAGTCTAAGGACGACTGGGGGGTGGAGCTTGCATGCCTTGTGCCGATCAAATCGGCCGCGTTGCCTGGGGACTCGCCTTTGCTCAGCGCTTCCCAGCGGAGAGGTGGCGGTGGTTTTCCTTGCTGCATCCCCTTTGCCGGGTTGCTGCGCTGTGGGAACCACCGCTTGAGGCTTCGTTTGGCTGCTGGCTGGGCTTTCTGCCTTTGGCTCGGAGGGGCTCAGAAGTCGAACCTACCTGTGCTGGGAAAATCCCTTATTTTGGCTGCTGATCCCTTATTTTCGAGGCTGCTGGTCCCTTATTTTCAAATCTGTAAGTTGACAGCTATGCCACCCGGATGAAAAGAGAAACGGGAGCAGAAATCCTCGGTCTCTGCTTCCTGGTCCCATGTCCGGAACACGTCCCAGCCGACAGTATCAGTATTGGCTGTTCCTTCCAGTCCACGGACAATATGTGGTTGATGAGGGCTGGATCTGTACGTTTCAGGAAAACGCGTTGTAAAGCTCATAATGGGGAAATTGCCAGAGGATCGGACTCTACAGCGCCATCTGGTGCCACAATGTTATAACGCTGAAAACAAAACAAAGTACCTGAGTCCTAGGCCTTGACTCCAGCTAACTTCCTGAGGCAGCGTTCACACAGCCATTTGTTCCGTTCCCCTGCTTATTTCTGCACCATATTCGAGCTTTCGCACAACATGAAACCGCTTCCGGAAATCTAGTGGAACACGGTGGAGGTTTAGCTCTCGCTTCCGTGTTATGTGCTCCAGAAACGACCTGTTCGCAGCCCCACCAGCCCAGAAAATTGCAGGAGTAAAGTGACAGAATCTGGGGCAGTATATGGTTTTCTTCCTACTTTTTTGAGGGGGGGGGGAATCGTGGGGGAGCAGAAGCCGGCATGTGTAGAAAGAGTGCCCTTTTCTTCTTGCAACCTGGACAAATCTGTCAAATCGGGTCTATATTTTCCCTGAATCTTAATTTCACTTCTTCACAATTTGCAGTTTGCGGAGCACGCGGTGTTTATTTTCCAGATCCTCCTGTGATAGGTCTGCCAGCGTCTTAGTGCAAATTTCTCCTCAATAAACACATTTTTTTGTACGCATCTTTTTTTTTTTACTCACATACACCTTTTTGCAAGCAATATTAAAATGCACACAGAATCGTATTTCTCCTCCATTTATAGCAGGGCTTCGGGGAGAGACCCAGCTGGTGCAAACTGCTGTGTGTAAGCCAGTGCGGTGTAGTGGTTAAGAGCGGTGGACTCGTAATCTGGTGAACCGGGTTCGCTTCCCCGCTCCTCCACCTGCAGCTGCTGGGTGACCTTGGGCCAGTCACACTTCTCTGAAGTCTCTCAGCCCCACTCACCTCACAGAGTGTTTGTGGTGGGGAAGGAAGGGAAAGGAGATTGTTAGCTGCTTTGAGACTCCTTAGGGTAGTGATAAAGCGGGATATCTAATCCAAACTCTTCTTCTTCAAACTCTGCTGTGGCCGTTGATGGGGACATAAGTCGTGCTCAAAAGCTTGCACTGGGTGCCCGTATGCTACCAAGCCAGGCTCAAGGTTCTTGCAGGTGGCGCTGTGGTCTAAACCACTGAGCCTCTTGGGCTTGCCGATTGGAAGGTTGGCGGTTCAAATCCCCGCGATGGAGCGAGCTCCCGTTGCTTGGTCCCAGCTCCTGCCAACCTAGCAGTTCGAAAGCACACCAGCGCAAGTAGATAAATAGTTACCGCTGCGGCGGGAAGGTAAACGGCATTTCCGTGCGCTCCTGTTTCCGTCACGGTGTCCCGTTGCGCCAGAAGCAGTTTAGTCCTGCTGGCCACATGACCTGGAAAAAGCTGCCTGTGAACAAACGCCGGCTCCCTCGGCCTGAAAGCGAGATGAGCGCCACAACCCCATAGTCGCCTTTGACTGGACTACTTTGGTTTGCCTTTACCAAAGTTCTTGAATTAAGGCCCTTAACAACGTGGGGGTGTATGGGGTGTTAGGGAAGGGGTAGTACCTCTGGTGGTGGCATACGGTGGTACCTCGGGTTACATACTCTTCAGGTTACAGACTCCACTAACCCAGAAATATTACCTCGGGCTAAGAACTTTGCTTCAGGATGAGAACAGAAATTGTGCAGTGGCGGCGCAGCGGCAGCAGGAGGCCCCACTAGCTAAAGTGGTGCTTCAGGTTAAGAACAGTTTCAGGTTATATATATATATATAATGGGAGATGATATATAATGAATTGAAAAAGGTATTTAAATATACCTTCTTGAAGAAACCAGAGGCCTTTCTCCTGGGCATAGTCGGCCAATTGGTGTTAAAGAAGGATAGAACTTTCTTTATGCACGCTACAACAGCAGCAAGAATACTTATTGCAAAGTATTGGAAGACACAGGACATACCCACTCTGGAAGAATGGCAGATGAAGGTGATGGACTACATGGAATTGGCGGAAATGACTGGCAGAATCCGAGACATGGGAGAAGAGTCTGTGGAAGAAGACTGGAAGAAGTTTAAAGATTATCTACAGAAATATTGCAAAATTAATGAATGTTAGAATGGTGTTGGATTGAAATTAAGTGGTTTCTAGCTGTAATGGTATAAAAGAATATGAAAAAAATGATTTTCTATAAGTAAAAATTTAAGATTAAAATAATTTAAGATTAAAGATCAGGGTAAAATTAAAGAGGGAAAGAAACTGCTGAACTAATAAATTGAATTGGAATACAAAAAAGGGAGGTATGAGGAGGTCCAAGAAACAAGTAAATGAAAGATAAACGATGGAAAGATTGATTGTTTGTAACTATTTTTATTTTGCATTTTTTCTTTTTTCTTTTTCACTTTGTAATGTTGTAAAAAACCCTAATAAAAATTTATTAAAAAAAAAAAGAACAATTTCAGGTTAAGAACGGACCTCCAGAACGAATTAAGTTCTTAACCTGAGGTTAACCCCACCTGGGGTAGTTTGTCCATCTTTGGTTCCCACCTTGCAGTGAGCTCTCACCTGGGGCTCCCAGAAGCTGTCAGCATGCGACAGCGGCCACAATCCCTGGAACGGCTTTGACTGGCCGGCTCAACTAGGTGAGGGCAGCCGGTGGGTCTCCAACGCTCAGTGAGTTAGGGGCTTCCTTTGCATGTGAAGACAGGCTCTGGTGGATTGAGTGGACGAGACGAAGAGTGTGTCCAACGGCCAAGAAGGCAGTTTCTGCATGAGCTGTAGTGGCAAATGAGGAGCAACCTGGGAAAGTAGTCCACCGAGAAGGAAAGGGCTGTGTGATGGCCTGGGATTCCGAGTCTGAGAGCGAACCGGAGGAATCCCAGCCGGCACAGGAGTCCCCGCCTCCAGGGCCGGCTGAACTGGGGCAAGGCCTAGATGCTGAGGAACCTCAAGAGCAGGCACCAGGTGAAACCATTCTGGCCCCAGAGGTGCTGGAAGACTCAGTGGCTACAGGTGAGCCTCCCCCGGGGCCCAGTAACCCTTGGGCCTCTCCTGATCTGCAGAGGCTTAGGGCAGAGAGGCGAAGGGAACTGGTGTCTCCCAGGAGGAGTGCTCGCCTTAAGGCCAAGAGAGGCGGGGCTTCTGGGGGCCGGGACCGCCCCCGGCCTTAGAAGAAGATAAAGGTCAGGCAGCCCGGTCCCAGGTTGCGGGAGCAACGTCGTTGTGGAGTACCTGCTTTACCCAGTCCTTGATCTGCACTCCCAGTGTGCCTGTTCCTCGCCCGGCTTCCTGTTCCTGACTATCCGGTGTTCCTGTTCCTCGCCTGGATTCCTGCTTCTGCCCTACCAGTGTTCCTGTTCCTCGCCTGGACTCCTGCTTCTGCCCTACCAGTGTTCCTGTTCCTCGCCTGGATTCCTGCTTCTGCCCTACCAGCGTTCCTGTTCCTCGCCTGGATTCCTGCTTCTGCCCTACCAGCGTTCCTGTTCCTCGCCTGGATTCCTGCTTCTGCCCTACCAGCGTTCCTGTTCCTCGCCTGGACTCCTGCTTCTGCCCTACCAGCGTTCCTGTTCCTCGCCTGGATTCCTGCTTCTGCCCTACCAGCGTTCCTGTGCCTCGGCCTGGGTCCTGCTTCTGCCCTACCCAGTGTTTCCTGTTCCTCGCCTGGATTCCTGGCTTTCTGCCCCTACCAGTGTTCCTTGTTCCTCGCCTGACTCCTGCTTCTGCCCTACGTGTTCCTGTTCCTCGCCTGGGACTCCTGTCTCCCTACCCAGCTTCTTCCTGCTTCTCGCCTGGATCCGCTTCTCCCTACCAGTGTCTGTTCCTCGCTGACTCCTGCTTTCTGCCCTACCAGTGTTCCTGTTCCTCGCCTGATTTCCTGCTTCTGCCCTACCAGCGTTCCTGTTCTCGCCTGGATTCCTGCTTGCTGCTACAGGTTCCTGTTCTCGCCTGGATTCCTGCTTTGCCCTACCAGTGTTCCTGTTCCTCGCTGGATTCTCTTCTTGCCCTACCAGCGTTCCTGGTCCTCGCCTGGATTCCTGCTCTGCCTACCAGCGTTCCTTTCCTCGCCTGGACTCCTGCTTCTGGCCCTACCAGTGTTCCTGTTCCTCGCCTGGACTCTGCTTCTGCCCTACCAGCGTTCCTGTTCCCTCGCCTGGACTCCTGCTTCTGCCCTACCAGCGTTCCTGTTCCTCGCCTGGTTCCTGCTTCTGCCCTACCAGCGTTCCTGTCCTCGCCTGGATTCCTGCTTCTGCCCTACCAGTGTTCCTGTTCCCCCGCCTGGACTCCTGCTTCTGCCCTACCAGTGTTCCTGTTCCTCGCCTGGATTCCTGCTTCTGCCCTACCAGCGTTCCTGTTCCTCGCCTGGATTCCTGCTTCTGCCCTACCAGCGTTCCTGTTCCTCGCCTGGATTCCTGCTTCTGCCCTACCAGTGTTCCTGTTCCTCGCCTGGATTCCTGCTTCTGCCCTACCA